AAAATATTTGTATGGCCACCCATCTTAAGACAACTCTGGGCGGCTCACAGCAATGAAACTATAAAAGCCATAAAAACATATAAAAACTAAAAACCTGGTGCCTCAGTCCACCTCCTAGGGTGCCCAAACAACTCTCCACAGGCTCCACCACTCTACCCCAGTGCCTGGGTAAAATAGCCAGGTTTTAATGCCTTCCTGAAGGCTAAGAGGGTGAGGGCTGGCCAGATTGCTGGAGGAACTGTATTCCATAAGGTAGGGCAGTGAGGAAAAAAACACACTTCCTAGGTCCACTAGATGGCATTGTTTCTGTCTGATCTAGTGGGATGGGCAGATACCCTCAGGGAGAGGTGGTCCTACAAGTAACCTGGCCCTGTGCCATATAGGGCTTTAAAGGTGATAACCAGCACCTTGAATTGCACCTGGAAGGAAACTGGGAGCCAGTCAGCTCACACAAGGGAGTAATGTGGGCAAACCAGAGGTGTCCAATACTGTGCACGCTGCTGCATTGTGGACTGGTTCTAACTTCTGGGTGGTCTTCAAGGGCAGCCCCATGTACAGCTTATTGCAATAATCCATTGACAAATGACTGTTAGTAAATGAACTGTTACCTTTTATTCTTGTCTGCCATAAGACTATTTTTTTTTAACCTTTATATTCCAGAATGCCCTTGGGGATATGTGATGTATACATTTCTTTACTTTTTATACCAGGTCCATGTGGTAACAACTTCAGAAGAAACAGACAATAAGTATACAATAAACCAAGTAGGTTTCCTTGAAATAATCAAACTGTGTTGCTCTGAATTAACACTGGGTTTTATTAATACTGGGTTTTAGGTTTCATGAAATAATTCTGTCAGTATACTGCATTGTTGAAAAACATGCTGGTAGTAAAAAAAAAAAAAAAAAAAGTGGTCTAGATATCAGACCCATTCAGAGAAAAACCCTAAATGCTTTTGGGCTGGTTTCATTCATCAACCCCTGTTCCTGCTCCCTGGTCATCTCTTTTCTGAGCTTCAGCATTGCTGTTTTCCTTTGCTCTGATACATATGGTTTCACATGCTGGAGTTGTTTTCCCCCATAGAAAATGTACCCTGATATTATCTTTTTCTTTCCCAAGGTTATTCTCCCAATGGTTGGTTATGGTATCCAATATCCCGCTAATGAAGTTGGGAAGTGGTATCACAAAAGGCTTGCTGATGATGGGCTTCAGATGTGCCAGTTCAGACTTCCTGCATTACAGCTGAATGTGCCTGGCTGCTACAGACACCTTCTAAAATATCCTCATGATCTATCATACCGGTTCATAGATAGTACTGAAAAAGAAATGGGAATGGAAGGTGGCCCTCTATCGGATTCAAAACCGTCTCTTTCGGTATCATTTCGTCTTGATCCTTCATGTTATGCAACTGCTTGTTTGGGGGAAATCATGAAATGCAAGCTTTAAAAGATTTCATTTTAAGGAACATGGTTGACTTGTTCAAATTGGCACAGACTGTGGAAAAATCAGTAGTGCTACAAGGAATGCTTTGGGGTATTTAATTATTATAACACATAATAATTTGTTATAATATAAGGTTCTCCTGCCTTCTACTATATATTTATTTTATTTGAGTTGATGGCACCCAGCTCTTCTAACACTTCTGTTAAATCCTAAGGAAGTCATTATGAGGCAGTTTCTCTTAAAGCTCTCTTTAGATCTGCAAGTATGGACAGCAAGCGTGGCTGCACAACAATAGAATCATGGAAGTATGCTAAAAATACACCCCAAAATTGGAAGCACCCTGAGAATGAGAGAGAGAAACAGAAGGCTGTCATTGCAGAAGAAAGAAAACAACTTTGGGAAAATTGGAAGACAAATTTCAGCATAGTATTAATTCCCCATGTGAATCTACAAGTTCTACAGCACAATACACTCAGAAATTACCAAAGATGGCATTGATGATTAAGAGCTTAATAAAAAAAGCAAAAGAGCTTGATTCTATAGAATTCCTTGGAGGATTCCAAGCAAACATTTTATTAATGAGCTCTAGGACAAATGAATCCAGTGATTTTCAACCCAGCCTATAATTGCCAAGTTGTCCTATGTAAATTGTAAACAGTAATATAATAAAGGGAAAATGCAACTAGCTTTCTGTGTGGTTGGAGTCAAAATAGTTCTAGCACAATGGAATCATTACGTACAATTTTATTTCATAGCAATCCTTAACTCAAAGTATTCTATCTTAGTAACAATGAAAACTATTGCATTTTTGCATATGGATTCATAGCTATAAAATTAATGCTAGAAACTTCAGCCACTTGCCTTGCAGATATTGAGATGAACAGTGAAAAAATATTTTGGTTTTGAAAGACCTTTTATGTGGGGGATGAGGACGGCCTATATGAGTACTAGAATCTTCAGAATTATCTTAAAAGGCACAATAGTTAAGTGTATTCATGTTAAAAGCACAAAGCACAGTTAAAGAATTGTAAGGCTTCCTGTTAATGCTAGTCATTTGTATTTGAGGAATGTATGCAATTGGTTGAAGAGGGCTTTGATTTTTTTTTTGCCAATCAGGCTTTTAAGTAGTGGATAAAATGATTAGAAAAAATGTACTAGTTGCACAGATTATATTTTCTCTGCAGATGGCACCATGACTTTGTAAAAACTATGTAAGAAAGCAAAATGTGTAGAATGTCTTATGTGCATTGAATGCTATTTTACTCTACACTCTTTTCCTAAATAGATAATTCTTTTTCTATGGGATATAGTCTCTGATTCAATTTTTAACTGTTATAAAAGTGCTTGGGAACTACAATTGAGTTTTCACAGACTTTCTCATTAGCTACCTGTTTAATAGGAATTACAGTATTTTTTGTAAGTTTCTGAATTAGAGATGCTTGAATATTCTCTTTCTATTTTGAATTATCTTTATCCCTGTGGGTGCAGAGACTGGTACTGTCTCATTAATTCCTGATTAAAATTATTATTTTTTCCCTGTGGGTCTGGCTCCACTGTTTCTCACAGACCACTTTAAATCAACCTGGCTAACAAGAGCTAATAGCAAACTCCAGTCGTTAGATCTCTCTTTGGACAGCCTCTGCCTGCTAGGATTTGAAAATGCCCAGAGTCATCTTAAGCTGTGTATCTGGGATATTGATTTCCATACTAGGGTGAGCCTACTATCCAATCCTGTGGATATTTTTCAAATGAGTATGCGCCATCGTCCTGTCTCTTCTCCGTTCTAAATCTTGGCCAGGTTGGATGCACTATCCTCTGCAGTCCAATGGGGCATTCTAAAAACAGCCCTCTACAGCAAAGCGTATGCCATGTGGGTATGGCTCCGTGGAGTCCCTCAGCCATATGCTCCTGTCTTGCGCTCTTGACGGGGAATCTCAGATGACATTCATCTATCCAGGGTTCCTCAACTCAGCAGCTTTAAGATGGGTGGACTTCAACTCCTATAGCTGGCTGGGGAATTCTGGGAGTTGAAGTCCACCCATCTTAAAGTTGCTGAGGTTGAGGAATCCTACATCTATCTCATTTTAAAGAAATACCCTGGCAGAGAACGTTCAGATCAATCTGAAGTCATTAAGTGTTTTTTTGCTTGCTTGCACCTCACATTCATATCAGCCTAACTTAAGTCACTACCATAAAAAATCCTTTGGCATGGATATATACATTACAGTTTTCAAAAAGCTAAATAGAAATTATATTTATAGCCAAACCCTAAATTACCATAACTATGTTGCCCTCAAGTGAATCAATACACACATGATGCAAATGTTTACTTTCTTTACTTAAACAGCAGCTTGCCATCTTATTGACAAAGGAATTAGCAGTGCTTCATTTAAAAAGTCAGCCTTAGAGCAAAGCATTTAGATAATGGTAGGATTCGTTTCACATAGCCCCATAATTTAATGGACACACATGCATCGTATGATTAAAGTATGAATTAAAGACATCCTACTATAGCTTTTGTTTATACAATTTGAAAAATCCAAAAAAGTTAATATTTTCTGGTAAACATGTATTCCTTTCAAATTATAAAAGAGAGAACCATTCCATTTTTATTCTTTTTTTCTCGTAATAAAGAGAAAAAAATTAAAATTATGTACTAAACTAACAAACAACTCTTGTTCCCTGGCCATATTTTTAGTCTTTCTGCTGAGAATCTCAAGTCCTACTAGCTAAGAAATTAGCACAGTTGAACAAAATTAGGAAGGTGACATGGTTAAATCTAATTCAAAAATGGCAGAAAGAATTTACATTAGAATGGCAGTAATAGCATTCTGATTTTGTTTCCTGTGTGAAATGACCATCCTGTCCTTGAATGACCAATTTGTACAGGTAATCCTCGGTTAACAGCCACTTGTTCAGTGACCATTCAAAGTTATGACAGCACTGAAGGACTGGTATTTATGACTGGTCCTCAAAGTTCCGGTCATCCCATCACCCTTGCAGTCACATGATTGCGATCTGGGTGCTTGGCAACCCGCTTGGCAACAGCTAACATGGTTGCAGCATCCCGCAGTCACATGATCACCATTTATGACCTTCCCTGCTGCCTTCCCACAAGCAAAGTCAGTGGGGAAACCAGTGGGGAAGGTTGCAAGATGCTCTTGTTAGTCGCTTGTACTCCTGCGGCTTTTTCTCCCAAGGAGCTATGGAATACGAGACCCCGGGGTATCTCATACTCTGTAGTGAATGTGTGCCTTCGGCACCCACCTGTCCACAGGGGCCCCCTGTGCACCTTCTCTCATCCAGCAGCAGCTGCCCCTTGCCCCATTGTGCTTGCGTGGTGGTGTGGCAGCACCCTCCCTCACCCAGCAACCACCAGGAAGCCAGCCTGCTTGTGAGCTACCTGGGATTTGCAACTTTCTGCTGGCTTCCCCATTAACTTTGCTGTTTGAAAGCTGGCAGGAAGTTGCAAGGAGGTCCTTGCTTAATGACCTGTGATCCTCACTTAACAAGGCAACAGGGACTGCTGGACTGCTGTTGCTAAGCGATGTGGCCACGTGACTTCACACTTTATGACCGCATTGCTTAGCGATGGAAATTCTGGTCCCAACTGCTGTTGTTAAGCAAGGACTCCCTGTACAAGAATGGATATGATACTCAGTTTTCAATTAAGGTATCTGTATCTCAGTGTACAAACATAATAGCTCTTACAGAGATGAAGAATAAGACATTCTCTTCTGTTGGATGTACAAGGTAATGACACGAAAGCAGACCAGCTGCTTTAAATTATAGGAGAAGAATATGCAAATGGAATATGGGTATATACATTGAAAATATACATAAATAATAAAGCAAGTGTTTGTAATCGTGGCTACTTCTTTATTATGAAAGATACTGGCTCTCACCTGGTACATCCCCTTTTCCCCATTAGAAGGAAGGCTTCTAATGTTCGATTCAGTAGAGATGCCCATCTAGCTATGGACAGCATTTTGAATGTCCCTTTGGTCTGACCACCATTCTTTCATAGTTATGTCCACTTTTGCCCAACTTTGCTGAAAGCTGTGGTATGAGAGATTGTCCTAGAGACCACAAATAATCTCAACCACATTGGCATAGATATACTATATAACTGATTTGCAATGCTTCACATTGTATGGTTGCTCTAAGCCATTGGCCAAATATGTTTTATTTGCATGAAAACTACCGGAAGACCATTTAAATAGAAGGCTCCTTTGTAATGAATAACATTGCCAGTATTGTGCAAGATTTTGTCACTCGCCTACACAGATTCATTTCCCCACATACTATTAGTTTCTCTTCATTATTTAAATTTACATTTAAGAAGGAGAAAAAAGTAAACTGACTAGGACTGGGATCTCATATTTTCCCCTCCAGGTCCCCTTGAAGTGAATTCAAAATGATTGATGAAGAAGCAGAACTAGCTACAAATAATGGCTAACAGGGTACAGTTTGGCATAACCATCTGACAATTCTTGATATACTGACATAAAAATATATTCAATATTTTTCCAAGTTTTCTTTGGAAAAATTCTTGGTTTGAGATATTTCATCATTCTTTCTTCAAATAAGTACAGATAATGGCTCTGGAATTATGATTTAAGTTCATTTCAGGTAGAATTTTCTGGGCTGGTAGTTCTGTGTTAATTTTTGCTTTCCCTATTTGAGTTCCTTCCAAACCATTCATCAATTGCCATTTTTTCCTTCAGGCCTATTGCCTCATGACTGCCAAATTCTTTGATCTCGTATCCCTACTGCTTTTATATCCCCTTCCCAATTTTGATTATGATGATATAAATATTGGTTTCCTTTTTTTCTTTTCATTCATTCTTCTCTTGGAGGTGGGAGAATTTCCCTGGCCTTCCCCACCTGAACTTCCACATTTTCTTGTTGCATGCTCACACAGACAGAAATATCCGAACTCCCTAATTTCTGGTGCTGCTGCAGTAATATCAGATTGTTCCTCTGAGGTAAAGGAGATGACCATACAAATGCAGCTGGAGGAACCCATCCTATTCATCTCAGTCATTCATCCAGTTCTTTTATTTGTATATAACAATTTATTAATGACAATACTTTTATGTTGTTTTTCAAGGCAGCCTCCATTAGAAGGTTTACAGAAATAATATCAATGCAAAAAAAAAAAAATCTGTCTGGCAACCATGAAAAGCAGAGAGGATGAAAATATCCCCCATCACCCACAAATCCTATATATTTATCTCCAGATATTTGATGATGACAGCATTACAAAGATCTGTTTCTTGATTAGAGGGAAAGTGTCTCTGTGAACCTAACAAAATCAACCAGCAGAAAATGACAAGAGGACACTAGCAAACATTTTTATTTCAAGTCTGTGAGGATGCATTTTTGTGCCCTTCGATAGGAATCCAGAGGAACTGATGATTTATTTAGTTACTGCTAATAGTTTTCAGTTAAGCAAGTTCATGAATAAGGTATTACAATGTAAACAACTGTGCATGTACATTTATATACATGTGTGTGCGTGTAGAGATAAAGAATCTCCAGTTCTTCAGGTATGCTAACTGCATGCTCACTGCTGCTTCTTCCTTACTACCGGCTTTCATCTTCTGCTGTTTCTAATTGTGAGAAGTCACACATTTCCTTAAATGGTTTTATATTTCAGTTAATTTATTGCTTTTTCTTGTTGAATTGAACTTAGGCCAAATATTTTCCAATTTTTTTTCCCCTGCTCTCCATTTTTCTTTCATTTAACTCCAACTTGGCTTGACTCAATCAAAGGCTTCTCCTTACACTGACTCTTCAATGCCTTCACCTCAGGAGGCTCCAAATAGTGCTACGGTTGCTAAGCAAAACGGTGACCTTTAATGCCGACCATCCACTCAGTATTCTTTCTCTGTTACTCTTTTCTGTGCTAGTGAAGTCTCTGGTTTCAAAATGCACTGTGCCGTGTATGTTTTTGAACCTTGTGCAACGTGCAAAGAAAATATCTTTCTAAAACCAGGAAAATTGTCAGAGTGCATTTATCAGAGGCCAAAGAGATGTATGCATCTCACAGTGCTGGTCCAAGATATTTTTGCAGCTCGAGCTATCAAACTGCTTAGGACCTGGGAATGGCCAAGTCCCTTGAATACCCGTTACATATAAATCCCCCAAAGTCTTCTGATCCCTAACAGTAAAAAACCAATTCAGTGACCCTTCAAAGTTACAATGGTGCTGAATGAGGGGGACTTACAACCAGTCCTCATAGTTGCAGCCATCGCAGTGTCCCTGCAGTTATGTGATCATGATTTGGGTGCTTGGCAACTGGCTTGCAATTATGACATCGCAGCATCCTGCAGTCACATGATTGCCATTTGTGATCTTCACTACCTTTTCTTCTGACAAGCAAAGTGGGGAAGTCAGCAGGAGATCACAAATGGTGATCATGTGACTGCATGATGTTGCAACCATGTGGGATTTACCTAACAATGGCAACTGGAACTGCCATTGGTGCAGTCACGTGACATCATGCTTTATGACCGTGTCACT